ACCCTTTTTCATACAGTAAAAACATTTAATAAATGGAGATGAAACTGTTTTACTATATGCAAAATAATTTTTGAAAGCTCTGGTTTTCTTTCCAATGGCTGGTGTATAACCTATACCACCACGTTCAATAACTAACTTTTGGGAATCAAGTATCTTATCAAGATTATTCTTTCCTTGTGCTAATTTAGATGAAGTTTTTACTAGGTATGATACTTGTTTCTGTAACTCAGGACAGTTTTTGCAATCTTCAACATTACACATGCAATCAGTATTATTTTCTAATTCTAACTTTTCTTCATCAATTATTTTCTTTTCAAGAATAATGATCTTGTTTTCTAGTAACCTATTCATGCTTTTCAATTTTCTGTTTTCAGTTTCTAATTTCTTTGCTACTTCATGTATTTCAAAGAAAGCATCTTGTAATGAGCTATAGTTTATAGATTCAGAACTTACACTGGTTTTTGATGATTCCGAGTTGACCATCAAGCATATTTCTGGTGCTTCTTCATAGGTCTTTTCAAGGATCTTCCACATTTGTGCAGCAGTTTGGCAGTGTGCAATCCTGAAAAGATCATTTCTGTTAAGAGCAGAAGAGATGATATTTTTGGCAATACAATCATCTTGAATTCTGTTAGCAATATCAGTTTCCTGTTCAATAACATTCCAAGCATTTATACTAACAGATTCAATGAAGATTTTCATTCTTAGTTTCCAGAATAGATAATCTGTTCCACACAACAGTGGAGGTCTATCAATACAAGCTCCCTCAGAAAATTTGTTTCCAGCCATGGATCGAAGAACTTGAATAACTTTCAAGCACCTCGCTCTGATGCCAATTGTTAGAAAAGTAGTTTTAGATCAAGAGGGGGGGTGAATGGATCTTTGAAAGTTTTTCGCAAATCACAGATTATCTAATTCGAAAATTAAGTTTACTAATCTATTCTTGAATCTCAAAGCAATCAATTAAAATAAGCGCAGCAACTGAATTTAAATGAGAGAAAGGTTAAGGAAGATATCACCGGTATTTTATACTGGTTCACCCAATACCAGGGCTACGTCCAGACTCCAGCCAAATTCCAGCTGGGTTCCACTAGAATAGATGTTTTACAGACTCACCCTCTTACACCTATTCTAACTCTCCACCAAGAACCAAATTCCAGCTCTTGCTTTAACCTTTCCACCAAGAACCAAATTCCAGTTCTTGGCAACTTTCTACAACAGCTGCAGAAAACTTGTACCCAAATTCCAGGTACAAAACAGTACAAATGAATGAATAGAAATTTAAAAGAAGAAACAAAGAAAGCTCAAACCGGATTACACCAATCCACAGTCAGTTTCTTCTTCAAAGAAATGCAAAGTGCCTCAAGAAAGATTTCAAAAGAAGTTCACAAAAACAGTTGTGTATCTTTCTTGAAAAATGCTAATAGTTGCTTGTATTGATTGCTTGAATTGTGTCAAAACTGATGTGTGATCTCTATCTCAAAGTTTCAAGCAAATCTGTTTATAAAAGAGTATTTTCAAATCTGCTGCATTAATTAATCTGTTGAAAGTTTGTTTTAATCTGTTGAAATAGCCGTTACAATCTGTTAAAAGTCCTTTCAACCCATTAATGCGTTCATGATCTTTAACAGAAAATGTTTTAGTTGATACGACCACGTTTTTATCAGTTAAAACGTTTTACAAACATTTTCTAAGTATAAAACAATCGATTGAATCACGTATTAATCGATTGATTTGTTTAAAAACCTTCTTATAAAACTTTCCAAGTTATTTTAGCTGATATAAAGTCGTTTCAATCGATTGAAAATCTGCACATATATTTTCAAGTCATTTTAATCGATTGAAAGTTCGTTTTAATCGATTGAAAAGATTTTCTAAGTTATTCTAATCGATTGAAATGCGTTTTAATCGATTGAAATAAGTCTGATCGGTCATAATTCAATTCTGATCGATCATAACCAACTCTGATCGGTCATAATCTCATTCTGATCGATCATACTGACATCCAAAGTGATTTTAATCGATTGAAACGTGTTTTAATCGATTAAAATAATTCTAATCGCTCATATTTAAGATCTGATCGATTATATTGCATTCTGACCTATTACATTCGAATTCTAATCGGTCATAAAGAGTTTTAATCGATTAAAAGAAGTTTGTATCGATTAAAATATTGTAAAAACACTTTTTAAAACATTCTAAGTGTTTTAAATTGATTCTTTCAAACCTTTATCAGTTAATAACTTGTTTAAGAAAATTCTTTGCCAAAATGCTTTTGTTTTTTTATTTGTTTAAAACTATTTTTGAGGCATTTTGCAAAATGAATGAAGGAGCTCCATGCAGTGGAAAAGGTAAAGTGGTTTTACCTAAGCTTTCTGTTTAGACACACTAAGTCTTCAGCTCCTTTGTTCTGAGTGACTTGTTTGACTGCTGCAGAGTTGACCCTTGACTTTATTTTTGACTTCATCAAATCAATGAGATCTTTGCTAGGATCACTTTCACAAAGATTAACATTCTCTTGAGTCTTAGAATATATCTGACATCCTTCAGAGTTCATACTATACCCGTAGATATTTTAAGATTTATATCTCCCATGCCTGCGATGTCTAAAGTTTCATCTTCTGCTAGACGTATTTTGCTAAAACTTCCACTTCTGAAATTTTTCATCAAGTCCTTGTAAGGAGAAGCATGGAAAGATGCACCAGAATCCATGATCCAGGATTCAAACTTGCTCTCAACTCAATATATCAACCCATCATCACTGTCTTCTTCTTCTGCTATATTCATTGTATTGGCATGCCTCTTTTCTTTAGGAGCAGTACACTAATTCTTAAAGTGTTCGTTCTGCTGACAATTCCAACAAGTAATATCCTTGCAAGATTTGGACTGTCTTTGCTCCCTGGACTTTGATGTACCACGTCCAGAGCCTTGCCCTCTTTCAGGCTTTCTACCTCTTCCTTCGGTGCTTAATAAAGAATTTGTTGATTCTTCAGCATTGCTTCTACGAACATCCTCATTAAGGATTAAATCTATAATTCCTTCAAAGGTTAATTTCATAGTCTCAGATGTACTAGTTACTGTCGTGACAGTTCCTGACCAACTATCGGACAATGAAGATAATAATAACAGGGCTTGTATTTCATCATCAAATTTAATATCCACTAACACTAATCTTGACAACAAGGAATTAAATTTATTCACATGATCTTTAACACTAGCACCTTCTCGCATCATCGTATTAACTAATTGACGAATAAAAAATACCTTGTTTGATGTTGATGGCTTCTCGTACATGTTTGATAATGATTTTATCAAACCATATGTCGTCTTCTCATTGATAATATTGTAAGCAACATTCTTCGCCAAAGTTAATCTGACAACGTCCAAAGCTTGTCGATCTAACAACTTCCAATCTGCATGAGACATCATTTCTGGTTTATTCTCAGACAAAGGCTGGTACAACTTTTTCTGATAAAGATAATCTTCAATCTGCATCTTCCAAAATCTGAAACCGCTTCCATCGAATTTTTCAATCTTCACTTTCTCGTTTTCAACCATTGCTCCACTCACATGAAAAAAGCTTAAGTTCTTGATACCAATTGTTGGGAACACAAATACAATACAAGACGAAAGTAAATAATAAGAACATAAAGAATTTACGTGGTTCAGTCAAAGTGACTTACGTCCACGACTGTACTAGATGATAATTCTTATTTACACAATTAAGTTTACAATTACATGAGTATTTATAATAAAAGAATAAGTAAATGGGTCAAGTCCAATAACTCTTTAGACTCCACATATTTAACAAGATCCCCTTGACATTGATGTGTGTCATTGAGCATATTCTACATAGTCGCAACGAAATCCTTTTGCGCTAACTCTACCAAGGAAGATAACAATGGTTTGAGATTTTGTGAATATGGATTTTATGGTAGCAGATCTCCAATGAAGGTAGATGTGAAAGTGAAAAAAGAAGAAGTTCAAATAGCAATAATGATTGAAATGAAAAAGAACATGTGACATTAGTAACACACAATAGAGAAAATTAATCCTACACGGGATAACAATTGTGGCAAATGATGATCCAATAAGGATGACGACAATAATGATACTACATTGATTATATGTATAACTAATAATGTTGTATCCCATATACTAAATAAGTAGTTATAACAATTTATGTAATATCTCTTTCAATATTTATAAAATTATCATTGTCTTATATATTATAAGGTCAACCATTAATGTTATATCTTATTATTAAGTACACTCCGTAATGACAAAATACAAGAATAACTTATTTTTTCTTAAAATTAAATTATATTATCATTTTAAAAATTAATTACTTTTATATTAACTTTATTTATTTATAATATCTAATAATGAATATTATTTAAATAAAAGTTTTTTTATTTGATATGACACTTTCACACACTCTCATTTCTTAATATAATTGAAATAAGTATTTTATTTTATAACATACAATATTTTATTTTTTTTCATTGAAATAAGTTATATGACATGAACAGTATTTTAGAAAAATAATTTTTATATCTTCTATAAGATAGTTTTCCCTTAAAGTTAAAAATGATTTATTGTTTTAATTTGAAACAAAACTATACGTAAATAAAAGGTCATATAATCTATGAATTTTTTTTAATCTCTTATTACCAGAGGTGATTTTGTGAAATAAGGGTATTTTAAATTGTTAGTAGAGTATATGTTTGAAGGAAAAAAAAAAAAAATCTCCTTGACAATTGATTACAATTTATAGTGATTCATGAAGTTGTCTATTTACATTTTGAGTAGTATGTAATGCATATAGTAGAAACAATAAACATTGAATCAAAGTTTTATTGTATTGAAGTCCAAGAAAGAAAAATAAAAAATAACTATGAATGTGAGGTATATCAATATTACGTAAAACTACTCTGTTTTTGTTTTTCATTGCAGGATCCAGATTAAGAACAAAGAAGACAATTCAAATATCACCAAGTATGGCTGAGATCGACACTGGAGAGTTTTTTTGGTTGAATACTGGAGACAAAATGAAAAATAAGATAATATTTCAGTATATGGTATACTGTTGTCAAAGTTTAAATTTGACAGAATGGTGGCTTTGCAACACTTCAGATGAACTTGAACCTGGTCCATTGTCCTTTGTTCCCAAGCTCTTACCAATTGGTATATTGTTAAGAAGTTATGACAATAAAAGTGGTACCACAAATTCAATTGGACAATACTGGGAAGAAGATCTCTCTTGCTTGAGTTGGCTCGATCAACAACCTCATTGTTCTGTCATGTATGTTGCATTTGGTAGTCTCACTTGTTTTGACCAAAACCAATTCAATGAACTAGCCATTGGACTAGACCTCACCAATAGACCTTTTCTTTGGGTTGTGAGAGAAGACAACAAGATGGCATACCCTGATGAATTCAGAGGGCATAATGGTAAGATAGTTGAATGGGCACCTCAACAAAAGGTGCTAAACCACCCTGCCATAGCATGTTTTATTACCCACTGTGGTTGGAACTCTACCATGGAAGGTTTGTCAAATGGGGTCCCTTTCTTGTGTTGGCCATATTATGGAGACCAAATTCAAAACAAAACATATATTTGTGATGAGTTGAAGGCTGGGTTGGTATTTGACAGAGATCAAAATGGACTCGTGTCAGGCAAGGAAATAAAATTGAAAGTGGAGCAACTCCTCAGTGATGAGAACATAAAATCAAGGTCTCTTGAGTTGAAGGAGAAAGTGATGAACAACAGTCGATCAGTAGAGAACCTTAATAGGTTTGTCAAGTGGCTTAAAGAGTAAGTAAGAATTACATTTACTTTTATGCATGTATGTCTTATTTTATGATAGCTTAAACAAAACAGACATATGTTTTGATGAAATAATACAAGAACCAGTGTCCAACACAGAAGATGGCCATGAAACTCTACCAATATTTTCAATGGAGAAATCCTGGATTGACAATTACTTTGATTACCCAAACAACTTAATCACAACCTTTTTATTAATTATAAACATTAAAAGAAGTTGTTGGTTAGATGTTTAAAATGTATAATGGTGATTATATAACACTTATCGTTCAAGCGTTTGATTTTTTTTTTCTTTTTTAAATCGTCCATTTAAGGTCACGACAATTTAATTTCTCTAGAGTTTCTTGTTGTTCGAGACTTATATTAGATCTTAACTTATAATCAAGTTTAATAGATATATAAGTTTTACGAGGAGAATTAGATAATTGATATAGAATTATCCTTAGTATTTGTCTTTGATTAAAAAAAATCTATTATAATATATAAAATTAAAAATATTTAATACAATAAATGAAACTAAAAAATATTTATTACAATAAATTATAAAAAAAAGATGATGTTTTATAATTCTCCTATCAATAGATATCACAAAATTATAATTTATAATTAAGATAAAAATCTTATTTTATAAATTAGTTTTATAAATATTTACTTTATAAACTAGTATCATAACTTACCCTAATAATAGTGATATTTTTTATAATATAAATTGTTTTACATTTATAAAGATATTCTATAATAAGTAGAAACGTGTCTTTTTCTATTCTACCTTCTACTAAAACTGATCTAGTTTAATGGACTAATACATGACTTAGTTGGGTTAAATATTGAAAAAAAAAACTTAAATCGAAAATAACATATTCAACAATTGTAATCCTGTTATTAATTAACCAATATATTTTATGTAAGATATATTTTTATAACATTTTCTATGAAAAGAAAAGCAAATATTTTCAACATCAAAATAAATTTTCTATACAAATCTTTAAAAATTTCAAAAGTGATAGATAATGAAACCTACCAAAAGTAACTTAAGATTTTAAAGTGAGATTTATCACTAAAAAACATATATTGAGAAATTTTGTTATAATAATATTAAGAATTAGAGTAACCACATAAAAACTCACAACTAAAATAAAAAATGAGAAAAGAGAAATAAAATTGATAATAGACAATTATAGAATTTTACTACTGAAAAAAATTACAATATTATCTTTAAGTCTTAGAAAAAAAAATAATAATATCCTTTATAAAAATAAGGTAACTTAATTACTATACAATATACTAGTAAAAAGGAGAAATATTGTGCTCCTTTTATAACACGAAAATTAAGCATTAACATATAATTTCCTTGATGTGAAACTTCTCTTCTCACACTCTCTCACTTGAAGATTTTGATTAAATTAATCAAATCATTATTATTGTCTTCCATGTTGTTATTTCATTGCAATAAATCTTCAATAGGATCACTTCTATGTAAGCTTGTTACTACTAATCGACTATCATAGTATATGTTAGGTTCTTCTTGCTTTATCTTGAAATATAAGATAGAACTCCTTACAATATGCAAGACACTCTGATTGTCACAATACACAAAATCTATTGTTGCTTGTGCCCGAGTTTCTCCATTATTCTCTTAATCCAAATAACTTCTTTACATGCCTGAGTGGTTGTCATGTACTCAACTATTGTGATAGATAGAGTTCCAACATCCTATAACTTGGATAACCAATTATTGTCTCTTCAACAAAGGGAAATTCATCAAGATCACCTGCAAACCCTGAACAAGCATAGCATCTGACAATTAGTTTTGATCTTTCAAAATATAATACAACATCCAAGGTTATTTTGATAATACTATGTTCTGCACCACAATTTGTCATTAATCTACTAATTGTTCTCACTACTTGTGCAAAACCTGGTCTTGTACCAATCATGATATTCATAAGACTTTCCATTGTCGATGCATATAGTATTCGAGACATTTTTATCCTCCTTACTTCATTACTGGGACTCATACTTGAAGATAAATTGATAAAAAATATTGAAGTACTGCAAGACCTTCAGTAAGTAATTCTTCTGATAAAGTTAAACCTTCATATCATTTATGTCCTTGTGAATTTGTATTCCTAAAATATTGTTTGTCGGTCCTTAGTTTTTCATATCATACTTCCTATCCAATTGTGCCTTTAAAACCTGGATTCAAACTTTGTTGGAGTCTACCACCAACATGTCATCTACATACAACGACAAAATGATAAAATAATTCTCATCAAATCTATTGTAATAGGTACAATAATTTGAACTTAGTATGTTATAATCAAGGATAATCATGAAGAATCAAATCTCTTATACTAACACCTGGACATCCGGTTTAAACCGTACAAATATTTGATCAACATGCAAACCAAGTTTCCTTTTTCATTAAGTCTTTTAGTTGGAACACATCAATCATTTCTCCAAGTTCACCTTGAAGAAAAATAATACTTGTATCCTTGCTAAAAATAACCATGTGAATAGTGGGATCTATAGGAAATATTCCTTCATATTGTTAGCATAAGAATTTACTTTTCTTAAACTTCGAAAAAAAAAACAGACTTCCTCTTGATGTCGTACACTCATAATCTCCTGGAGTAATCATTATCACTGGCACAAAATATCTGGCTTCTCATAGGGATAATACTATCAATTCCAACACATCATAATAAACCAATTCCAATATGTGTTTCCTTCTGATAGTCATTTTAGCAAACTTTAGTCTATGTTGCTCTAAGCCAACAATCTTTCTTGACATATCCTCTCTTACCACAATGGTAGCAAATGAGATTCTTCCTTCCTTGAGATTTTGATCCATCATGATTTTGACTCCCACTAGAATCATATGCCATTGATCTACCTCTGTTGATGTTTTGGCAAGCGTACTAATAGTCAACTGTAGTATAATGATTTTTAAGTGAAAGTGTCGATCCCATGATGAATGGGTTCAATTTAAAATAAATATTTTATCTCAAACGACATATATACTAGGATATCCAGTTGATTCATGATTGATAGTAATGATTTATACTAAATTTGCATAAAAATAATATAATGACAATAGATTGAGTAGAGAAGATTCAAAGAAAGAAGTTGGGATTGAATTTCATCTATCTCATTCTTCTGTAATCTGGATGAATATAAACATATAACATTTGAATTTACCAATATTGACGCAACACACGATAATAATTTATATTGATTCCTCACGTATAAAATTCATAAAACTGGTTCCCTGGATATCGATTCCTCATATATCTAACAAATTGTCCAACATTATTTTCAAGTGTTAAAAGTAATTGATATACTGAAATATATTCTTAACATCACAATACATCAAGTATTTTTGTTTAGATCAGATTTTCAGAAATACTTTCCAATCAAGTCTAAAAACACATTCACGAATCTATTGATCAAATAGAATCAAGCATTAAGAGCAAAACAAAAATGTCAATATTGAATAGACCCAGAAAAGCTATATATAGATATCACCATATTTCATCCGAGTTCAAATCGATTACATTCAATCTCAAAAGGAAAGATTAGCCACTCATGGTAGCCATTGACATCCTAAGAGAAGAAGAAAAACCCTAAAGCTAAAACTGGAGAAGAATTTTCCCTAATATTGTCAAAATTGGCACACCCCTCTTTTTTCGTCTAAACCAGAAAATATATATATACTGCGCAAGTTTGTTAAGTAGTAAAAAGTTGATATAATTATGCTCTGAATTGTTATGAAACCACTTAACTTGTGTTAATTCTAATCTATTTTTCTCCTAATAATATATGATGAATTCCATAATACTGTGATACAAGAGTAAGGAGCATAATTGTCAGCATAATTGGAGTAAAACTGGAAGAAGGAAGAAGATTTTTAACATGGAAGTCGCTCGAGCGGGATGGACTCTCGCTTGAGCGAATATCAGTTATTCTTCTCTGGAAGTCAGTCGCTCAAGCGACACAAGATTAGCTTGAGCGAATATTAGTTATTCTTCTCAGGAAGTTAGTCACTCAAGCGCAGGAAGATTCGCTTGAGTTTACTCGCTCAAGCGAGCGTTTTGTCACTTGAGTGAAAATAGCAACTCTCGCTTGAGCGAAAGACGCGAAACCCAAAAGCCAAAAATTTTCCTACAAAAAGAGAAGATGTATTTTGAGAAAAGCAAGCGGTTTTGGGGAGAAGAGGCATGACTACAGCTAGGGTTTCGTCCAATCTTCATCAATTCTTCACTTCTTCCTCATTTGGAGTATTGTAATGACCAACATGAGTGACTAACTTCATTCTCTTGGGATTGAGTGCACTTCCTTTGAACTCTTTTGTATCATGGTGATATTTTGAGATATTAATCTATGTTTTGATGTTGGGATATGATTGGAAAATATATCTTGAACCCTAGATCATGGTAAGAATATTTGTTACGTTAATTTTCAGGAATGAAATGAATGTATCAATTGCTTAACACCCTAAACCTAATGCTAGAAAATCTCTTAATTGTGTGAGGAATTAACATTTATTAGGTTTTCTTATGAATTTCATGTGTGAGGAATCAACATGGATGATTTGATTAGGTGACATCAACATTGTTAAGTTAATTGACATAGTCATTACAAAAGAGGGATAAGGAAGGAAATCAATCCTAAGTGCCTTTAATTGATATTTTCTCAACAATTTACACTTATTTGTCATTTAATTTCAATTCAACTCTTTATGCAAAACTCATTCTGTTTTAATCCACTTAGTAAGCATAAAATTGGAAATTTCCATTAAAACCGTTCTTCGTGGGATCTGAAAGAATTAATGGTTGAGTTCAAGAGGGGGGGTGAATTGAACTTAAAAACTTTTTCGCAAAACTTTACTTTCTTTTGGAAGAATGAGTTATCTTTATTCAATTCTTGAAAAGATGATTTGATTTAAAACACAGCAAGATTATATTCAGAATTTAAAAGAGATGATAGAAA